GGCCGCCCCTTTCTGTGCGAAATCGGGGGAAACTGGCGCTGAAGTCAGGACAGTAACTTTTGGGAAGGTCTTAGGGCTTTCGGTACGTGAGTGGTGTAATCCCAACGGGACTGAGAGCAGGAACTGCTGAGCAGAGCTGGGTGGGAGGGCGCTTCTCATCAGAAAATGCTGCTTTATAGAAACGGAGTTTTTGCAGAAAACCGGCGCAAATTTGATGAAACTGTGAAGGGTTTTTGAGGCCCAGGATGGCAGTTTGCTGCCCACCCAGCGGTCTGTGACACAGCGCTGCAGTCCTCACAGCCCAGGAGTCTGGGTTTTCCATCCACTAAGCAAACTAATAAATAGCAATATTTTGGTAAGCATTAAATAAATATGCTGGGTTGTGGCAGTAGAAGACCAAAACTTTTACATTTCAAAAGTTTACTGTCCTGATTAAACTCCCAGGATCAGCTCTGGTACTAAGGTAATTTTGGCCCAGTCCTACTGCTTTTTGTGGTACCTCTATTTTGTCATCTGGAAAGCAGGGAAAGGGGTTTTGTGTGGCTGTGGAATGAATGATGGGATTTAACATTAACTAGACCAGTGGCAGGAAAGCGAAAAAATTCTCAAAGTTCAGAATACTCCGTAGCACAAAAAACATGTGTTTCTCTGCCCTGGCCCACTTTGCTTATTCGGAGGTGATGTTCCTGTCGAATAATGGGTGCATCTGAGCACTCGGCCACTGTAGTCTCTGTTATCATTTACCTTCAGGAAAAGGCAAAACTTCTGAGAAGTCAGCCTGCTCGGACTGTGGAACCCAAAGGCCTTCTGTATGTCCAGCAGAGAGAGTTTGCGGTGACCACTCCTGAAGATGGTACGTAGGAACATAAACATTCTCCTTCTGCTGAAGCAGCGATTGTGAGAGCAGAGGTCCTACAACATTTCTGTCCTTTAAAACAGGTTCTGTTTCCATTCTTGGATCAGATGATGCAACTACCTGCCACATAGTTGTGCTCCGACACACAGGTATCTTTAAAGGATGTTCAGAGCAAAACCTGTACCCCTGAAGTAATGAATTAGCATTGGTTTAAGCTGCATTAATAAGATAGATGGCAATTACGTTTATATAAACTTGAATCTCAGAAAGTCAGATGACCATTGACTGACTGACTGACTTGTTCCAAGAGTTGGTGTGTTTAGTGTCAGAGGTTCCACGTTCTGGTTGCTCAATATGCAGATCCTAACCCTGATGGGCTCTGGTGGGTAGTGGCGGTCACAGGGTATGGTAATGACGAGGAGAATTTGTGGGAAAATCCTCACTCCCTGCCTGGGTTTCTGACACAGAGACGCTGCCTGGTCCTGGTTAAGAGGGTGCCCATACCCTTCCCATGAGTTCTGGTGATTTTATAGCGGGGCACGCAAAGAGGTTGTGGTCTCGTTCAGCCAGCCCGTATCTCCTGCTGGAGGAGGAGGTGGCAGCTCTCACACTCCTGTAGTAACGTAAATTGTTACTGATGTCAGCTGTGGTTGTGTGACGGCCTCCAGCGGTGGGGTTAACTGTCTTCTCGCACCTTCCTCAGGCAGCGGAGCCACCTGCCTGACGCACTGCGACGGCTCAGACACAGAAGCTGAGGTGTCACTCATCATGAGCTCAGTAAAATCTTTCTCTGACACCACGGGATACGGAAGGTCAGCTCTGCTCTTCTTTTTGGTACTGCTTTTCTCAAAGGTTACTGTGGTTTACAAGGTGGGGAATTTTTATGTGATTGTATGGGGTTCAGACAAGGCGGTTGTGCAGGAATACCTCTAAATCGAGAACCACGTGTAAAGTGATGATTTTGAGGGTATTTTTGCAGCGGTTTAAAGCATGGTTCTGTTCTGAATAGTGTCTCTGTAAAATGCCATTGTGAGCTTTTGTCTTTACTGTAGTTTCCCAGTTAACTATTGTTTCAGATGCGAAAAATTTTTCAAAGAACTCTTTTTGGGTTTATGTTCTGTTTTTCAGACTGTTGGTCTTGTAAATTCCTTTTGGGACCTGAGATTCCATCTGGGATTTTTCCAAAGAACTCTCTTTGGTTTTATGTTCTGTTTTTCAGACTGTTGGTCTTGTAAATTCCTTTTGGGATCTGAGAATCCATCTGGGATTTTTCTAAGTCCCACATTTAAAGAAATAAAATAGGAGGAGGGACAGGACAGTGGGGAAAAAGAGCTCTGCAACAGAATTTAGCAAACAAGGTTCTTTCTGGATGTGGAGGTTTTTGCCCCAGCAGTTTGCTAAGAACAAAAACTCAGTGAACTTGGAAGATGCAGTCTCTAAACACTCAGGACTTGTCAGGACTTGTCTTTACACAGACACTTCTCAGAGAAGAACCTTGCTGTGTGCTCCAGAATAGTGGTGAGAAGGTCATGGGAGCAAAGATCTTCATGTTTAATTAACACTGTCTTGGGATCCAGAGGTGGTTACTAAGCTCAGCCCAAACCAGAGGTGCTGACCATCGGAGCTGCCACGGGGTTAGCCAGAACTGCATGCGTGTAATGCTCCTAGTGGTTTCAATTTGTGCCGTTCCCTGGGTGATCCCCAAAGCATTCAGAATGGAATTGCCATAACTATGTAATGCAAACCAAGGTGTGCATGTGAGGCTTCTCTAATGACTGCGTTGCAGTTTGGGCTGGGGATTAATTTTGTAAAGCTCTTTGCTGCGGGATGTCTTTTTAATTGCTGTTTCCTGTTATTCCATCTCTGTTAGGCTGGAAGTGCACCTAGTTGGAGGTTTCAATGATGATAGGCAGTTATCACAAAAACTTACTAATCAGCTTCTTAGTAAGTTCACGTTTTTTCCACTCTCATGTCCAAAAAAAAAAAAAAAATCGTTCTGACTGGATTTGGGAAAAGTTTGTTTGTGATCAGTTAAGGGACAGACCTGTGACTGGGTTTGAAGGGGATTTCTCTGCCCGAGGCCATGGTGTGGCGAGGGGTTGGAGTGCTGCGGCTGGCCTGGGGCCAGCGCGGGTGGAGGGGCTGACCCCGTAATTCCTTCCTGCGTGTGGGGCTGGGGGGAGTCCCGACTCCACTGCGGATACGCTACGTCATCTTGGTCAGGCCTCGCCACTGGCTAAGTCTGCACCTGCGAGTGACCTCACTAGTTACTATTCATTTCGTACCTTAATGTGATGAGGTAAAAGTTAATTATTGTTTGGAATTGTCTGATGAAAGATGCTATGTCTGTTTATAAAATCTGTAGTCCAGACAAGTGATTGTGGTGCTTTACGAACAAATGGGAACCGTAAAGTGGCCGCAAGTGCTCTGGCTTGTGCTAAGCGCTTTCTGAGGGGGGAGCGGTCACGGCTGTCCCGAACGGGGCCCAGGGGCTAACTGAAAATGCAACCCCCAGAGGTCAGGGGATGCGCCCTCGTGGCCATCGCACCTCGCCATCCCTGGTAGCTCTGTCATGTGTCGTAGGGGAGGGCTGTGCAGAATGAAGTGTTGATGAATAAGTTGGTTGATTTATTTTTTTCAACCTTCTGATTTTCATGCGTCAAGTTACAATTTGAAACAATAAGATTGTCTTGCTCTTAGAACGTCAAAAAAAAGAGAAGGTATGTGGGATGGTGAAAAGCACTATTAAAATGCAGTTAATGAAAGGCAAGGTTTGCTCACTATATATGTAACGTTTTAGGAAAGTACATTTCAATATAAGCTGTTAAATGTATAGCGATGTAAAGCTGAGCTGATGTGATGCCAGAGCTAAACCAGTGCCAGTAGAAGGAGGAAGTGGCACACCACTTTTTAGCATGTTTCTGCTACTACAGATGGCTACTCTCTGCATTACTGTTATGGGCGGTAGTTGTGGTTTTAATTTTATAAAAGTTAGTTTGAAGCAAGTCTGCAAAACGCTCTTTGCTCCGTTGCCTTATCCAGGAACAGTGCGTTAGGTATCTCTGCCCACCTATTCTGCAGTGCGCAGCACTGGTAATGCCCCTCGCTCTGTACAGCTCCCGCTTTGCCACCAGTCAGTCTTACACATTGCTGCTGTCGTTGTTGCCATAGGAGCATTTGATCTCCAACCAGATGATGTCCATTTAGTGACTTTCTGCGTAACAGGTAAGAAGACGTTTCCTTGGCTTTTGAAGTACCTTTAGCTACTGAAATCAAAGCGCGGGGGTCTTCTCAGAGGTGGCTTTTTTATCCGTCCTCTGAGGAAGAACAGCATGGGTCCCCACAAGGATCTGTAATTTTTTAGTTGTATTGCTGGTAGCATGTGTGGCGATGTCCGGTGGACAATGCAGCAAGGATTCGCTCCTTACCAAGTGCTAACGACAGCAGAGCCACCTGTGAGCGTTGCCAGGCTATTTCACCACCTTTGTCCTGCGGAAAAAGGCTGTGTACCTACCTGTGCATATCTTCAGAGACCTTCGACCTGCTGGGTCGTTAGACCTCATGAGCCCATGCTGTTAGTTCATAGCCTGTGATGTCACATAAGGGAAGTAATTTCCTTTACTTTGTGTCATGTGCAGGTCATACTTCCACCATCTTCGCATTTCAGTGCTGTCAGTGCCTTATATCTTTGAAACGTGGCACAGCAGCAGTTTCTCATGGTGGGTTTTCCCTGTGACTGGCCCGTGCAGGAAGTGGAGGCACAGTTGGCTGGAGTTGGCTGCAGCGTTAGGAGACGGAGCTCTACTCCAGGCCCACGTGGGGTGGTACTGGCCCTGACCTGCTTGTCCGTATTTCTTCCAGGCCTCCTTGGGTTTTATTTCTGTCTTTATGCAATATCAGATCTGTTCTTCTCTGATTAGCACACAAGGTGATGAATGCTGCTCAGAAAAAATCCCAAGCCCTACGAGTTTGACTCCTTTTTCTTACAGAACTAAATGACAGAGAAGAAAGGGACATTCACTTTCCAATTATTTATGGAATAGGTGAGTTGTTAAATTAAAATTCAGTTGTTGGGTTTTTTGTTGGTTTTTTTTTTTTTTGTGTAACTGGATTGCTTTTCAGTTTCCACTAGTAAATGGGCTGCTTTTAATGACTTGGTCCAGCCCCTCCTAAAAGTTAAGTGCTGCTTAACTGCTGTGGGACCAGTTTTCTCCGGTCCCAGAGGTGGGTGGGTGCACACAGGGAAGTGGCTGTGTACAGCTGCACACAGGGGGTTTTTTTTTTCCCCATCAACTGTAGTGAGGATTTTGTCAGTATCGAGCTACTGCACCAACCCTTGGGGCTGAGATTCAGCCATCTCAGCATTGTTTGTTGTGAGGGTTTCAAATTAGTTTAAGTATCTCTAAAAAAAGATTCTTCTGAAATGCTGCCAAAGCAAAACACGTAGAACTACACTATCACAGCGAAGGGACTGCCATACCAAGAAATACAAGAATCCTGTTTGAGGGGTTCTGAAGTTCCTGCAACAGAGTTGTGGTGGGACCAGGGCCCTTTTAAACAAGGGCATTGTAAGAATTAATTGTTTCTGTATTTAAACTCTATTTCCCACCAGCTGTGAATGTTAAAACGGCAGAGATTTTCCCTGCAACCTTCCCAGAAAAAGGGCCTGATGAAGATTTGCGTTCAGCCCATGTTTTAACAGGAGCAACAGTGAGTAACAGTAATGGGAAGACGGGGTACTTCTGCTGGAAGGGGACACCAGGCAAACGTTTGGGGAGAAAGTGCGTTGGCAGTGTTTGAGCAGGACAGGAGAGCACAAGCACAGGGCAGGGGTAGAGCCCCATCCCTCCCCCAGTTTCACAGCTTCCACAGGTGGTGTGACCTGCCCTGCAGCTTTCCGCAACTCCTGCAGGGTCGGGGCATCTTCCTGTTTGTCAGAACAACTGGTTAATCTTAATGCACGAGGCCTGAAGAGGGCCGAGCGGGTGGGCAGTACGGCTAGGACAAGCTGCTCCCTGTTGAGGGCAGGTGCTGTCTCTGCCTCCTAAGGCCCCCCCCTCTTGTTACAGCTGACCAACATTTATGACACCAAGAGGGAACAACTACATATTGGGCCTTATTTCTGGAGTCCTTTCCCCCACGTGGATTTCTGGTTGGAACAAGATGATCAGCAGATTTTACAGGTACCTGACACTGATTTATTCTCCCCCACTGCCCCTTTTAGTGAGGTAGAGCGCAGTATGGTCTCTCACAGCTTTTCCTGGTGTACTGCTGGGGAGGGGGGAAGATAATCTTATTAAAAGGCAGAATAATTGAGAACTTTGTATTCTGAATGTGAAGCAGCTCTTGCTACCATCTTGTCTTTCAGAACCTTTCCACATCGCCCCTGGCTGAGCCACCCCACTTTGTCTCCCACATTAGATCTACATTAACATTTTTAAAAGACCATCCATTTCCATCTTGCTCCCTGTTTCCTGACAGGAAACCTCGCATCTACAAAAAAAACGAAGAAGGGTTGTGGGAACAGGTTTGTTCTGACAAGATCTGACCTGGACCCAACCGCCACACCTGCGTTAGGGACGTACAGTCTTGCAAGAAGAGCCAGTGTCACAAAAAGCGTATGGCTGCTCACAGATACTGCTGCTCCTGCGCTTTTCAGAATAAAATATTTTGACAGAAGTACCTCGCTCTTTCTGCATTACTTACATAGGAATCACCACTATCTCAAAGTAAGAATTTGGCTTTGTTTGTGTTCTGTTGCTCTGACACAACAATTTGATGGGCAGGGGGAGCAAAGTCACTGCAGTGCTGTGAACTTCAGAAAATGATTTTCCACACAGGGGGAGGAAAGGTACAGCCACTCAAAGCCTATGGCAATGTAGGGAAGTATCCTTCAACAAGAATGTAATTCAACAGTAATAATTTGAAGAATCTTTATTGAAACATTCAGAGAGTATCTAAAGAATGAAGCTCATTCCAACAAAATGACTGGTTGACACTTCCAAATATAAAAACATTAAAAATTAATCCTTGTGGTGATAACTTGATCCCCAACAAATTACTCTTATTAACATACTTCATTGCACCAAAGAAACCAATAAGGAAGACTGGTCAACTTAATTTTTTTTGCACTTCTTTAGAAAAATTGCACCAATTTACATAAATTACCCCAACAGCAAAGTGACCCTTGCTCAGGCGTCCCAGAGCTGACATCAGCTTGGGGGCCAGTACGCATCACAGCCCGTGTCAGTCAGTGGCAGTGTCACTCCTGTGCCACTACAGCCAGCGTGGTGTCAAGTTAGACCTTTCAGGGGAGGGAAAACACCCAAACAAAACCCAAATGACCATACTACAGTACTCATATCCAGTGCTATAGCGATGGGGGGGGGGGGGGCTTTCCTCACCATCAGCTTGCCAAAGATCTTCTTTCCACAAGAGGCTCTGAAAATTTGCAGCAAAGTGATTAAGGTAATTGGGGGGGTTGGGGGAGGAGACGTCTTAGCTTTTGATTTATCCAAAGCTTTGCTTGTGCATTAAGCAGTCCTAGACACTATTAAGTTGTGCTGTAGTGTAAATAAGCTATATAATTTCTTTGAGGCTGTACAATTCCTACCATAGGTAAGTTACTGTTACTCAAAAAAATAAGTGTTGAAACCATCACAAAGGTATTGGGTTTTCAAGCTTTACTACAACTACCTTTAAAAATACACAACAAAAGAACTCCAGTTACACTACAGAAATGTGTCCAATAGTATTTGGTTTATAAATGACGTGCAAAGGAAAATGACAGCAGGTTGGTGATTCTTTCCCATGGCAGAAGGAAGCCACTGCTCAGGCATGCGGAGGGAGGCACCATTTCCTTCTGAAGACTTGGCACGCACGAGGTCAGGCCCCAGCATGCCCAAACGGGTAGAGCTATGGAAGGGACTGGCTGATAGCAAAGTCCCACTCGGCGACTCCCACCTCCACAGGCATCCCTCCCCGGCGCTCACCACACTACCACGTTCAGCAACAGTCTTCAGAAGGTAAAAAAAGGAAGGAAGCAAAACAGAGCCCCGGGGGCTGCAATAGGTGTGCAGGAGAGGCTAAACTGAAGTTTAAGTAGTAAAAAGGTGAACAAGTGGCAGTTGATTTCTTTTTTTTTTTTTAAAGTAAGTTATTAACATAAAATAAGATCATTTTACAATTATTGGGTACAACTGTATTAATCTTGTGTAGAGCTGATTGGTTAGTTAGCAACTATTGTCATGCTTAGATTCCTACGGGAACGATAACTGCCAATTGTTTTTGCAAATGTTTATGAGCACTTAATAAATTTCACTAGTACTTTGGTGACACTGACATGTAGAGAATTAAAGCAACTGTAACAAGTGGACATAAGACAAATCTCTGTCCCAGAGGGGATTCTATTTGTGCAAAATCCCAGTTAGTAAGTCCCAGTAGTTGTTACCGTACTAGCATGTGGCACTGCTCACGGTTTCAATGCATCGCTAACAGCCTGCCTCCCAGGGCAGGCGCTTCCTCAGCAGTCTGAAAGCCACGCTCTGGGCTTTATCTTTGGCTTTCTCCTTCCTCTGCCTTTGTGCAGTGGCGTGGCGGTTCGTCACTCTGTGTGCCCTCGGTGTCCATCTGCGTGGCCTGCGCCAGGTCCTTCTGCTCCTCCGTCTTCTCCATCTGCTGAGGCCCCAGCTCTTGGCCAGGGGACAGGGCTGGGGGTCTCGGATCCACCTTCTCCAGGTCGTCACAGTGGCTGATGGAACTGGTTTCACTGAACGTGTCAGAACTTCTTACAGACCTTTTGAAAATTTTCTGACCTGTCAGGCATTTAAAGAATACAGTACCAATGAAAGCAGCAGTATGGAGCATGGTACACACAAGCACACTTTCAAAGAAAGTATCTGAACTTCACAACTGCAAAGAAACAGATTTTACTCGGGTGCTAACCTATGCCTGAACACAGCCATACTTACCTGCAGTACATGTGCAAGGCAACGGCACCCGTTATTTCAGCCTGTGTACACACAGGCTCTTAACATTCAGCTGGAAAACAGGCTGCCTGCACGCGCAGTGACGTTGTTCCAGCGTAAAAACTTGCACTGAAAGTTGCAGCCTGGAAGCTGACTCCAAAGGTGAGTTAAACCTGAGGTTTTCCCGCCAGTCAAATCAACAAAAATTACTAATAATACAACTACACAAAGTTCCCGAGATTTAACAGATCTTCATCTTGGAATGACTTGGTCCGCAAAATATTAGGTAGCAACACAGATGCAGTTGCTCAAACACACAATTATATCTTGTTTATGGTTTTATTTCAAGTCAAACTTCTGGCTTGTTTACATGCTAGTTTTTGAAACTCAATAACCTCGTGATATTCCAGAAGAAGATTCCAGCCCTCACAGGTCAGTCAGCAGGATCACAACTTCCCGTAACCCCAGGCAGAATTCTTAGGGAGAGAACAGTTGGGGCTGGTGTTCCATGCCACGTTTAAATAAAGGGTTTTAAGGCAGACTTAAGGCACGAGAGGATGAGCTCTAGTCCCAGGTATTACAAAAGACTGAAAATCATGCTGGTCTTCCTGTGTCACACAGCTCAGATGGCAGGACCTTTCAGCAAGTTTTAGAAATAGAAGATGGAGAGACTTACCAGGAAGTCTTTGCTTTGCAAGGCTGGACGTAGGAGTTGGTGGAGGGGTGGTGCCTGTTCCTTGGGCTTTTGATACGTATGTGGATTCTGTGGATTCTAGAGAGCCTGCAGGTTACAAGAAGTATTAAGTTGAATGTAGCACAAATCAGACAAGTTTTCTGTTCATCTGTATTCATAAGGTATGTACAATCTTCTTTTACTGCACTTTCCAAAGCTGCACGTGCTAAGCTGGGCTGAAACTGCCACTTGATGGTACTCGGTCTCCGAGTACCTGGGGACAAGAGTGCCGAGGCTTACACAGATGAGTAGCATCCCCTCAGGCTCACTTCACCGCGCCGCTACACCTGGTGTTCCTGCCCCCTTCTCCACTGGGCACCTGACACAGTCCCAGCTGCACTACCTGGCGGTGCCCCGGGAAGGCCTGTAGCTACGAGGGAGAAGAGTTCCCAGGGAAACCTCACTGGTCTCTGCCCTAAGAGCCTCCAGTCAGTGCCCCACAAGTCGGAAAGACAGACCCCCCCCAAACCAGAACACCTCCCTCGCTGTTACACAGACGGACAGACAGCTGGGCTGTTCTTCTAGGTCCGACACTTTGCCAAGTTCAGGAGTATCTTAAGACTCTGGCACAATTTTTACAGTGAAAATATATAAATTCAGAAAGTATTATCTTAGTACATCAGTCTTTATTATGTAGAAGCTATAGACAGTTCTTTTCACCAGACATGAATTATAAATATGAGTAAGATAAAAGTCTTTTTGATTGTAATATCCTGTTCATGCCTGTCCCCCTCTGAGCCGTGTTCACACTAGTCCTCAGCCAGCTTCAGCCCACCCCTGTCAGACATCGCGCTATTGAGCATGCAAACCCAGATGATCTCAAACCAAGTTTCAGAGACATCGAGTTCCAGCAGCACAGCGGAACACCCGAGTGCCGCTTTGCCAGCGCTCTCCAGAGGATACGTGTGCACGCACATGGGGAAGCAACTCAAGACTGAGCTACCCTGCTGGCTTACGTAGTGATAAGCACAGCACAAACGCAGTAGCCAAAAGTCAGAGAGATGATTCCTACATTAATAAACACCCATGTCCAATGTAGCTTGTTTCACGTGACCCAACATCCAAGAACAAAATGTAAACTGTACAAGTGAGGTTAGAAGACTGTCTGACCGGGCGTTACAGAAATGGTGACGAGCATGTTCTTTTACATCCTGCAGGTAGACGATGTCACTCACGATCACATCGGCACAAGCGTGCTGCACTTTTAGTACAACATTGGAAACGGTTCTAGCAACAGACTAACATGGCTGCAGGTGCAGAGTCCTACCTGCTGTTAAATTAAACGTTCTTCCCTTTGGTGAGGCTTGGAATGGAGAAAACCAGTTCAGCACAGAGCCTACCACAGGTATTTGTCGTAGCAGCCCCTGCAAGGGACACAATCAAACACTGGCTGGTGAACAAGCTGCCTGCATTGGGAGACGTTACCTCAAGTTACCCAGACAACTCACAGTTATGGCCTTACCTCTTCCAGAAGTCGCTCTTCATTTGCTTTCTGAAGCTGGAGTTGTGCTTCCTGTATCCCTTTTCTAACAACTTCCGTCATGTTTTCCAGCAGCTAATAAAAAACAGAAATTATATTATTATATATATTATTTGTACATTAAACTATACTTCAGGTTTTGAGGATGTAAAATATGACAGATATTTTTCTAATTTAAGATGGTATTTGACAGACACTATTTCATTATGACTGTCAAGTTAAAAAGTGTACAGGCTGACTGCAGGATTTTTAAGATGTACCCAGAGAACAGAAGAGGACATATTTTTCTTTTACTTAGAAATGAGCCTGTGACCTAAATTCTTCAAAGATCTGCTTAGTACGTAAGTGTTCATCAGATGCCGAGTCTGACTGGAAAGTATTTTTAGGTATATAGAGAATGTTTTGGTTTCTATGAGTACCCAGGATTAAGCCAGCCTCACAGAAAGTCTAAGAAGGTGCGTACCAGTCTAGATTCAACTTTGCTTTTCAGATTTATACTG